AGTTCGCCTTCCTTCGGGAACCCGTGCATTCTGGTCTCTCGCCAAGGCTGTCCAAGGGAATTTCTGTAAGCCATCACTACCATCTCTGCACATGGAGGACGACTCACTGGCCCAAGAAGCAAAAGACAAAGCTGACCTTTTAGGCTCCCTTTTTGCGTCCAACTCGACTCTTGATGACGGGGGGAAGACACCGCCGACCATCCCGCGGTGTGAGTGCTCCATGCCGGATGTGCTGTTCTCACAGCGCTCGGTTCGCAAAGTACTTCTCTGCCTGGACATCCACAAGTCGAGTGGGCCTGACGGAATCCCCCCAATTGTGCTAAGGACGTGTGCTCCGGAGTTGGCACCGGTTCTAACGCGTCTTTTCCGGTACTCCTACTCCCTAGGCGTAGTCCCGAAATCATGGAAGACAACTTTTGTCCACCCGATCCCTAAAAAAGGCGACCGCTCAGACCCGTCCAACTACAGGCCTATCGCCATCACCCCCTTGTTCTCCAAAATAATGTTATCCGTTGTAAACTGCCACCTCATGCGGTACCTTGAGGATCACCAGCTGATTAGTGACCGCCAGTACGGTTTTCGTCGGGGTCGATCAGCTGGTGATCTGGTTAACTCATAGACGGGCGTTGGCAATAGAGTCCGAGGGGGAGGAATTGGCCGTTAGTTTGGACATTGCGAAGGCCTTCGATCGGGTTTGGCACAAAGCGCTTCTTTCGAAGCTCCCTTCCTATGGGCTTCCCGAGAAATTATGCAATTGGATCACCAGCTTTCTCGCAGATAGGAGCATCAAGGTCGTTGTAGACGGTGCATGCTCCAACTACAAGCCTATTAACGCTGGTGTTCCACAAGGCTGCGTGCTATCACCAACGCTGTTTCTTCTGCATATCAATGATATGTTGCAAGCCGGTAGCATTCATTGCTATGCGGATGACAGCACTGGTGATGTTCTATACACCGGCCGTGCCAATATTTCTCGGGAAAACGTCACCGAGTACCGGAACAAACTTGTGTCTGAAGTCGAGTCTTTGCTTGACAAAGTCTCGGATTGGGGGCGACTAAATCTAGTCCAGTTTAATCCTCAGAAGACACAAGTTTGCGCGTTTACCGCTAAAAAGAACTCCTTTGTCGTATCTCCTTAGTTTCAAGGTACTCCCCTTGTTGCCTCAGCCAGTATCGGAATCCTCGGCGTCGACATATCGTGTAGCGTGCAGTTTCGTGGTCACTTGGAAGAGAAGGCCAAATTGGCCTCTAAAATGCTTGGTGTGCTCAGCAGAGCGGGACAGTATTTCATGCCGGCTCAACGCCTGCAACTTTACAAGGCGCAGGTTCGGCCTCACATGGAATACTGTTCCCATCTCTGGGCTGGGGCTCCCCAGTGCCAGCTTCTTCCTTTTGACCGCATCCAGCGCAGAGCGGCTCGAATCGTCGACGACCGAGTCCTTTCCGATCGGCTCGACTCATTGGCACTGCGAAGAGATGTTGCATCTCTTAGCATTTTCTTTCGCATTTACCATGGGGAGTGCTCTGAGGAATTGTTCGGATTAATCCCAGCCGCCAAATTTCACGAACGCACATCGCGCCAGAACTCCCGATACCATCCACACCATCTGGATGATTGGCGGTCCACCACTGTGCGATTTAGAAGATGTTTTCTTCCTCGCACAACTTCCTTGTGGGATAGTTTACCACCAGCGATTTTTCCGGACCGATACGACTTAAGGACATTCAAGAAAAGAGCATACTCCTTTTTAAAAGGCCGGCAACGCATCTGCGATTCCCCTGGTGTTGCGGTTGTTCATGGGCGGCGGTAGTCACTTACCATCAGGTGAGCCGCATGCTCTTTGCCCCCTCTCCTATAAAAAAAAATAAACATGGGCTTTCTCATCAGGTAGAATCTGTTGCTGTGTTCGTTTGTTACCCATAATTGTTTAAAACATGAGTAGAAGTAATTGTTGTTGTACCCTTTAACATTATTATGATTGCATCAGATGTTGAAACAAATAAAAATGATAGCGGCGCTTATAATTTTGCTACAATAAGCAGAAACCGATTGACCATCAATGCCTAAATTACACTAACAAAATTTCCGAACACTCCGCGACTTATATACACACTACGCACCCAAAGTAAATGCTAAGCCAACACAACAACATTGTGCACTCAGTTAACCCCAAATGTCGGGAGATCTCCCCTACTCTATATTGGATCTAAACTGTGCCCTGTAGTGTCTAAGTCCAAGACGGTGACATATCCGTCTGATAAAGCTGCTTTTGTAGCCTAAAACAGATGCAAATCATTATCATCATTACATCCCTTCAAAGTCCACTGCTGAGGCCTCCTCAAGGAATGCCACAAAGCATGGTCCTGAGCCACCTGCATCCATCGACTTTTTGTATGTATTACCAGTTCATCACTCCATCTAGTGGAGGCACGACCTACACTTCGGCTGCCGGTACGAGGCTGCCACTCAAGAACCTTTCTCCCCCATCGATTGTCGCTTCTTCAAGCTATATGGCCGGCAAATTGCCACTTCATAATATTAATTCTTTGGGCTATGTCAGTTACTCTGGTTCCACTGCGGATATCCTCGTTTTTAAGTCTATCACGATGAGAAACGCCGAGCATTACCCTTTCCATAGCTCGCTGAGTGACTTTGAGCTTCCTCATACGGCCAGCAGTGTACATCTCAGATCCATAGGTCATCACTGGCAACACGCACTGGTTGAACAATCTAGTTTTGAGGTTCTGAGGTATGTCTAACGAGAAGATATATGTCGTAATCTCCCGAACGCTGCCCAGCCGACTTGAATCCGTCGATTGACCTCACGGTCGAAATTGGACTTACCTAGTCGGACTTTATATCCCAGGCAAACATATTCGTCAACAACTTCGAGCTTAGTGCTCTCAACAACTATCGGCATAGGTGTGGCATGGACGTTAAACATGATTTTTGTTTTGTCCATGTTCATCTTAAGACCTATCCGTTGGGAGACAACATTGAGGTTATTGAGCATAGTGCTTAAGTCCTTCAGCGATTCTGCCACAAGGACTTTATCTTCGACAAATCCAAGATGAGTGATGTACTCACCATTAAAGTAGATACCGTATCCTTTCCAGTCCAGTAGCTTGAAAACGTCTTCCAGTGCAGCGGTGAAGAGTTTCGGGGATATAATGTCACCCTGTCTTACACCTCTCTGCAATTAGATAGCATTCGTACTCTGGTTCCGTACCCGGATAGCCATCATAGCCCTACTATACAAACACTTCAGTACTTCAATATACCGACAGGCCACTTAGCATCGTTGAAGGGACTGCAGCACCGCCCAAATTTCGACAAAATCAAAGGCTTTCTCATAGTCCACATACGCAAGACAAAGTGGCAGATTGTACTATTCGGTCTTCTGTACAATTTGCTGAGGGGTATGTGATGCTAAAGCCTTTTCGAAAACCGACTTATTCGGGAGGCTGGAAGTCGTCGAGTCTGCATGCGAGACGATTCTTAATGACTCTCGAAAACAGCACGTAGACGCGGCTTAAAAGGGAAATCGGTCTGTAGTTCTTCAAGAGAGCGTTGTCGCCTTTCTTGAAGAACCAGACCACCGCACTTCTGCTCCATGCCTCCGGTGTGGTGCCACCATGGAGGACGGAATCAAAGAGCTTCTGAAGGACTTTAAATATCGGTTTTCCACCCGCATTCAGAAGCTCCGCTGTAATTCCATCCTCGGTATATTGTCATATTTGCCGCGATTGGCGAGCGGGTTGGCAACCGCAGTTTTTTATAGCTTTTTGCTGTTATCGAAAAGGTGCTGCTGCCCATCTTCTGTCTCAGTTTCCCTCTGTCGCCTTTTATGATACCCACGAGAAGATATGGGGTAGTGAGTATTCTTACCTGCCCCTACACGGGGATGCAAATAATTTAAATAATTTTTATAAAAATAAGTAAGCATGTGCCATTCCGCCAACTTAATGTAACGATGATAACAAATGCTTCGAAAGTGTAGATAGTTTAGTTTAATTTTTTTTATTATTTACGGGTGGAGCCAGCTGCAGCTATATTGTTGCACGAATGGGTTGGCTCAATGGAGAAAGAATCACACTCTCACAAAAAGCAGCGTTAAATAGCAGCCTCATGCTGAGAACCACAACTAAGACTGGCCATAGACACATAACCAGTCTTAAATATTTGGGTAGAATTCAGCGTTTTTAACTATTCCAAAGTTTTAGCTTTTCCAAAGATTAGCCCGGAGAGAAATGTGACACAGACAGACAGACCGACAAAATTTTTTAAAATGTTTATACATCGCACGCTTAATAATAAACTGACCGATTACGGTTCAGGTCCAAAACGAGTCAAGCATACAAGGAAATTCGTTTTAACGTCATCTATCTTTCTATCTCGGAATTTCTTCGATATCTTGTTCCTAGCCCAACTTTAAACTCTATCTGTCTCTTTCACTCTCATACGTTTTCACGATGATTATTACAAGACAGTGGCGCTAATCATTATGCGTCGGCCGCTGTCATAGTGAACACGTGGAGTTTTTATTTTTAAGTGACTGAATCATAATTAAGTCTCTTTTGTGCGAAAATCTAAGGTAAGTTTTATTTAACTTTTTCATAAAACCATGACCCATTTTTTATTACGTCTGTTTAATACAAAAAATATCAAATTATCCGTGTTTCTTTTTAGTTTTAGGTCTGTGTTTTATAAAAATGTGACAAAATTATGGTGACCAACTATGAGTTAAGCCTGTTTTTCATAAAATACTATGGTATTTTTGTAATAGTATTTGTTGTCATTAGAAGTTCTGTCAGTTTTTTACAAAACTGTTTACAAAATGTAAAGAAATACTTTGATATAAGTCTTTTTCTTATAAAAAAACTATTATCCGTTATTTAATTGTCTTGTTTATGTTGAGTTTTGTGTCACTATTCTTTTAAGTTTAACATCAAATAAAAGAGAATTTTGGATAAGAAAGTGATTCGTAAATTCTTTTAAGATGGCTTCGAGGTCGAGGAAGATAATGGAACTGATAAATTTGCAATTAGTTTCGCCTGCTGATCTTTCTACCAATGAAGACGAAGTTCCAATTCAAGGTAGACCATCTGATCACAACAAAATGTCCATGGACTTAGGTCAAGATTCTGCGGCTAATGTTGTGGTAAGGTTATACCTATTTAATTTTATATTAAAACATAACTGAGTTCTAATTTACTTCAAAATACATAACATCGCGCTTGTATTACAATGCAATTGTGTGTAAAGTCCCATGTAATAGAGGGCGAGCCTATACCTCTAGCATCCAGGCACAAATTCAAGCTCCGGGCTGCTACTGAGAAATTTCTAATGGAAAAACCCAATAACACATTACCCGCCCTTAGAATCACACTCACACCCAGGACCTCATGCTTAGCAGTAGCGTTTGCAACCACTAGACCAAAGAGGCAGTCGCTGTTACTAAAGAATAAAAGTAACAAAACGATACTAATTTATAATTACTAAAGTTATATTTATTTTTTTGTTACAGATATTATCAGATATCACTAATAATCCTGAAAACAAGTCTTACTTGAATGTTAAGACCTTTTTTGAATCCGACGAAATCGCTCATCAAAAATGTGCTAGTCGAAAAAGAGACAATGTAAATTACAATGTCTCACCTTTAAACTCGGATGAATCGGACGTAGATGTTAGTGACCAAGATCCAACGTATGACCATCAAATAAAAAAAAAGAAACTGATACCAGTATACCCCGTGTTGCGGCGGTTATCGTCATCTAGTTCTAGCAGCTCATCGTCATCTGGTTCTAGCAGCTCTTCATCGTCAGAGTCATTATCTCCTTCCGTAAATTCGAATCATGAGCCAGAAAATTTTATACCCACTTATCAAGACTTTAATACTTTTAACAATCCGGACACTACAGCTAATGAACAATCAATTGAGGCACAGGGAACAAGTTCAATTGAAGAGATGGCAGTAGGCCAAAGTAACATTGAAGAAGATATGGAGATTCCCAAGAAGAAAGGTAGGAAGCGCACTAGTATTCCTAAAAATTGGAGACAAAACATAAATAGAGTACTAAGAAATACTGGCCATTCTTATGTATCTAAGGAAAAAAAAATCATTCCACCTCGTGAAGTGAAGCAACCTTGCACAGATCGTTGCAGACTTAAATGTTCTGAAAAGTTTACATCCGTTCAGAGATGAGCTCTTTTTGAAGCTTATTGGAATTGGATTGTTTATAAACTCTTGTATGTCCAACGTCACGCCTAGATATAAATACACAAACGCCATGCGTCCGAGGCAGAGCAATAAGGCTTTTCACTTTATTATGGATGACAAACCAATCCGAGTTTGTAAACAGTTTTTCATAGGAACACTAAATATATCCGATCGCGTTATTCGCACAGTAAAACAAAAGTCTGATAAGCTTGGCATTATCCAAAGTGATCAAAGAGGAAAACATAACAACCACCGTACTAATGATGAATCACTGATTTTAGACATAAAAACGTTTATAGACTCTATACCAAGAATTGAGTCGCACTACACAAGGCAAACTTCTACTCGCGAGTATATAGATGGGGGTAAAAGCATCACAGATCTTTTCAAAGACTTTAAAGAATGTCAAGAAAAAAACAATAAGCCATGTGGTAAATATTGCACATTTTACAATGTATTTACTAAAGAATATAATATATCATTTTTTTATCCGCGTTAAGATCAATGCGACCTGTGTCTGCAGTACGCAAATTCAAATAACGAACAGAAGAATCTAATTCGTGCCAAATTTGAAGCTCATTTGGAAGAAAAAGCACTAAGTCGGCAAGAAAAATACAATGACCGCTGCAAAATAAATGAAAAGAATAAAGTTATTGTTTTTGATCTACAAGCTGTTTTACAATCGCCGAGGGGCAATACATCAGCATTCTACTATAAATCCAAATTAAACAGTTATAACTTTACTGTCACGCTTCTTAACAAAAAAGTTGATGGCCAAATGAAAGACGCCTATGCTAATGTACACTCTTATTTTTGGAATGAAACTGATGCCAAACGTGGTGCTAACGAAATAGGCTCCTGCTTACTGGATTGCTTTGAGAAGGTTTGTCGTGATTCAAGTGTTAGTGACACTGGCTTAAATTTCATTTTATATTCTGATAATTGCACTGGCCAGAATAAAAATAAATATATATTGGCACTTTATCTCTATGCGGTGACCCACCTGAATATAGAATCAATAACACATAAATTTCTAATCAAGGGGCACACCCAAAATGAGGGTGATAATATTCATAGCCTTATAGAAAAGGAAATAAAAAAGAACCTTAAAACAGGACCAATATACAGTCCCCACCAGTATGTAACCATAATTAAAAATGCCAAAAAAACGGACCAAAAGTTCTTAGTACATGAATACACCTACGATTCATTTTTGGACTTGAAAAAACTTCAAGAAGACTGGGGATACAATTTCAATGAAACTGAAGACAAAAAACACTTATCATGGAACGATATAAAAATATTAAAGTGTAAAAAAAGTGAACCGTTTGCATTTTTTGTGAAAACATCATACAAAGATAAAGAGTTCATAAAAATATGCTTAAGGAACAGGAGGAAAAAAATGAAGCCCTTGTCAGAGCTGACAACAGTAAAAGCATACACGGGCAAGCAAGAGCTCAGCGAAAACAAAAAGAAAGATTTAAAGGAACTGATTGATAAAAACCTGATCCCCAATTTTTACAAAGATTTTTATGAGACAATTTTGTAAAAAGTTAATTTTTTTTAACTAACCTAATATTAGTAGGTAAACTGACTGATTGTACAAAATTGATCTCTTCATTAGTAAGTAAGTACATCATTAGTACGGACTATTGTATAACATTTAATAGTAGGTGTGTTTATAAGAATTTATTTTCATATTCTGTGATTAAATAGATAACAAGTTTTCCTACAATTATCTATAGAAGTTTACAAGTTAAAGATTTCTTTTAAGATTTATTATATAGACTATTTTTCATTAAAACTGATTATTATTACCTCTAATTATTGTGTGAAAGAACTAATTCTAAGAAAAAATAAAATATTTTAACTGTTTTCACTTATAAAGGAGTTTATATTATACTATAGTATTTAGAATTTATATTATAATAGTTTATGTAGTTATACTGATTGAATACCAAATATTGCAGAGATAATTAAGTAATAGGTATTAATATTTTTATTGTTTTAAGGATATAAGGTAATAATGAAGACATAGAAGCTATCTAAGTTTGTTATGGTTATGATTGTTATTTTTATAGTTCATAAAGTTTTTTGAAGTTGAATTTATAAAGCTAACTTTGTAGTTTGCTTAAATTTTTAAACTGAAATAATAATAGATACTTATTTTAGAAATAAGTACAAAAAGTATATGATTCAAAATTGTGCTAAATATACTTTGTTTTCGATTCCATTTTGTTCCAAATTACACAGTAAAAGACTTAAAATATAAAAAATGTTTTATTTTTTGATCCAATACAGACGAAATACATAAAAATGTTAAATATTTAGGTAGATATTTGATAAAATACAGACTTATTACAAAATGCGACATCAGTACTAGAACGATGTATAATTGGCTTTAATAATAAACAGACTTATGTCACATACATCATTTTTAAACGCTTAAAAAATAATTAAAAAAAATTTCTTCTAAATATCATTTGTGTATCAATAATTAGTTCATCAACTATTCCTACAATATATTATTTCATTATTATTATGCTTTTTCACTAAGTTTTAGGCTATTATGTAAGACAAGTCCTGATTGCCAAAACGTTTTATGCGATTTTCCAAAAAACAGTTTTTTTTAGTTAGGTCAGTATATTATTAAGCGTGCGACATGTCTTCATGTCATGCAAATACTCCCTGAGCTTAATATAAAGCAGTTATATCGATATTACAAATAGACACTTCAATTTTATTTACAAATATTTATGCTGTACGAGCTGCTAGAGGATTGTAATATGCTGAATTACTTACTGTTTTTATAAACTTATAAAGAAATTTTCGGTATTGCTTAAAAACTAAACTACATATTATAGGTAGATTAAAAGAAAATTCGAAACGAATATTTCTATATATTATATTTAAATGAGATTCATACGAGTTAATAATCACAACGTTACATTCGTAACTACATTGCAAATATTAACACAAACAAAACAAATAAAGTTTGTTCTACAGTATACAACAAAACGTTTACCAAAGCCTAATATCCGGCGGAAGGAGGCAAACTTCCTACTTGTTCTTAATGCAACAGGCAACGTTCGGTGTTTATCTCAAGTAGGTAATAACAAGTGGGGAGAGCCCGTACCATCCATAGATTCTGCTCTCGATATGTCATTCACGGTTTAGTGCTTCACCACTCAACAACACTCTCTATTTTAAATTGTGTTCAATTTTGTTTTATATAGTGCTTTGCTGATAATATGTCGAAAAGTAAGTGTTACTTAAATCAAGAATTAAAGAAACTAAAGTACGAATTGCAACGTTGTTGAAGGCGCAAAGATAGAATATCAAGTAAACCTCCGTGATTGTGTGAAGTGATTCGCCGCTGGACTTGGATCAACTAGAACGTAGGAAATAAATCTAGCGTTCGTTCTTTTCAAGGGAAATGTATCATAATATCAAAAGAAGTTGGCTACGTTCTGTTTATAGGAACGTAAAGTAAGGTTCGTTCTTTTCGAAGAAACTGAACACATACCTATTAAACAATTTCCGAAAATGAAAAATAAAGTAAGGTTCGTTGATTTCATAGGAACTGATCACTTACCTTTCAAGTGATATCCGATAATGATGAATTGATTCATAATCATTTATTTCTTTTCTGTAATATGATTTTAAATTTCCCTGTTTAAAAAAATAAACCTTTTTTAGATTTACCTAATGAGGAACCGCTAAAGGAACTTAAAGGCAATCCTAAGGAACCCATTCTGTAGACGGTCCGATTGGTTCCTATACTTACAAAGAAATTATCGCAGAAACTCCGATCACCACTGCGTCAAATTCAGATATAGATGCGGACATATTAAAAGCCGGGGCAAGGACTAACTTGTCTATTGTGCCAGAATTTGGTTGAGACGTACACTGATTATTAAGTATTCGTCTGCAACATATAGCTACATCAGGCTTAGACAAAGAGACCGCAAACAACTCTGTGTTCAATACTTTATCCTAGTTAACTGCACAAAAGTTGGCGCTATAATAATGAATGACAAAATAAAGGTTCCCGAGACTGCTAAATCCAGAAGTCTAAGAAAGGATGCATGCCTCGACTAGCCTCGGAGGGGGCGCCAATCTGCACCCACATTTCCATCGCCCCACCATCTATCTATAGATTATGCAATGTACCCAGGATAACTGGCTTTGCTCATAAAACAATGAACACTTATTACCAATGACCGCATTATACTGTCGTGGAATAAGGGACTATAGCGCTAAATTCATCAGTACGCAACATCAGGAACAACAAGCCAAGCCTGCACTCTTTCTCTAAAGCGGAACGATTGCAGTTTGCTATATAAATAATTTACTACTTATTGAATTTTTTTTTAACAAAAATCCTAAGATTTCTAGAGCAATGGGATCATGTCACTAACTACAAGATGGCAACAAGTTAACAACAAAATGACACATATAATTATAATTAAATGTAATTAAACTTTTAAAAATCTTGAATCTGTATATAAAATACGAAGAAACTTTTTCTCCAACCTTATATACTTATATAATAAATTTAAGTAACAATATTAAAGGTGTATGACACCAAAATATCCATCAGACCGGCTATAGAAAACAGCGTCCAACAGTGGACATTCTTTTTACTTCTGTAAGAAAAAATAAAAGAAATGAATTATTTCATTTCATTTAAACAAGTCACCTTTGTTATTATGTCCGACAAACGCTACAATTTACAAAACAATTAAACTGTATTTGTGCTAATAATCAATGTTGATTGCTGTAATAACAAACTTCAAAACTATAAACGATAATGACCGTTTAGTTTCACATAATTAGAATTATTATTATTAACGCATCAAATTATCATTTAACACCCTAGAATAAAAATTATTTGATCATTGTTTATTGTTCAAACACAGTAATTAAAATCGCTTTCGTATATAGCCTATATTCTATTATAATAATTTTATGTCGGTTCTATT